TTGATAGAGGAAGACATTGAAAAGAATCCAAGTTGCTGTCCTGTTAGCCATAAGCTCCCCCCTTCTCAGGGTATTGCATCCTATGTATTAAACACAACACTTTCTCTGATTTGTTTATAAGAGATGACAATGCCTGGTTGACCTTGACTGGGATAGCTTACTATCAGGAAACAGCAATGAGGAAGTTAGAAAAAAATATTCCAAACAAGGCAGTGACAATCTCTCTATTGCTGCTACCTGGTGGTAACTATGAAGTTAGGAGCTCAGCTTGAATGGAACCAGAGTTGACTTGTAATCTCCAGCCCATTAGTTGTGCTGGCGAGTCACGGAGCTATCAAAGAAGGGGAAAAAAATCTACTTTTTTTACTTTACACCAACTACACTGCATGCATTTTTCTCATTCCTCCAAACTCTTTTTTTTTATCCCTCCATTAAAAAGCAGAACTGGGCAGAATTAGGAGGAGGAGGAGGAGGAGGAGGAGGGGGAGGAGGAGGAGGGGAAGAAGAAGAAGAAGAAGAAGAAGAAGAAGAAGAAGAAGAAGAAGAAGAAGAAGAAGAAGAAGAAGAAGAAGAAGAAGAAGAAGAAGAAGAAGAAGGGAGAACAATGTACAGACTCAATATGGATAAAGAAGATTTATAAACAAGAGAGGATTGAAAAGGAGAGGGCTGGTTTTCCTCTTCAAAGGAATTGGTGCCAACCTGGCAGACACATAAGGAGGAACAAGAGAGGATGAATTTCATATACCGATCGATCTATTCTGTCTCCAAATGTGAGTAGCAACCTCCCTGATTTTCCCTTGGCTTTTAGAATTATGAGTAAAACTGAAGTCAAGTAAAGGGTCAATGGGGAATTTTCAGGGTTGGCAATTACATGACATGTCATGGGTATTTTTATTTTTATAATCGACTCAAGGGAATGACACAAAGCACAACAACTTTTGCGTTGCTAGTCCTTTTTGAACGTCTGTGCCGATGGATAGCCACCGTTGACATAGGTGGAGAGGCAACTCCAACACGCAAATATACTAACGAGGGTCCAAAGATTATCTGAGGAGTCCAGAGATTTCTACGTTTCCAACCAGGAGCTGTGTTGCTATTCTTTTCTCCCAGAGTCAAGAAACAAAGCTTTTTTCTATGCAAAAATTTGGTCTAGTGATGAAGGTACCAGGGTACAAACCAGGAAACTGTGAGTTCTAGTTCTCCTGTTTGAGATACGAAAGACGGCTGGGTGAGTTTCTGTTAGAGTCCCTCTTTCTCAGCCCAACCTGCCTGAGAGGGCTGTTGTTGTTGTTGTGGGGAAAACAGGAGGAAGAAAGAGGTCTAGGGATGTTCACTGCCTTGAGTTAATAAAGGCTGGATTAAAAAGAAGTCTAAAAAGAGAAATGTTCCCAACATTGTAGAGTCTTTGCACGGCAGACGGTTCCATTATTGTTTTATTGTCTACCTGTAAGCTGTTAAGAGGTGCCTAGTTGTAATAGAGCATAAGAAAATAGAATAGAATAGAATAGAAGAGAAGAGAAGAGAAGAGAAGAGAATAGGAGAAAGGAGAATAGAATAGAATAGAATAGAATAGAATAGAATAGGAGAAAGGAGAATAGAATAGAATAGAATAGAATAGAATAGAAGAATAGAATAGAATAGAATAGAATAGAATAGAATAGAATAGGAGAAAGGAGAATAGAATAGAATAGAATAGAAGAATAGAATAGAATAGAATAGAATAGAATAGAATAGAATAGAATAGAATAGGAGAAAGGAGAATAGAATAGAATAGAATAGAATAATAATAGAATAGAATAATAATAGAATAGAACAGAATAGAATAGAATAGAATAATAATAGAATAGAATAGAATAGAATGGAATAGAATGGAATAGAATAGAATAATAGAATAGAATAGAATAGAATAATAATAGAATAGAATAGAATAATAATAAAATGGAATGGAATGGAATGGAATAGAATAATAGAATAGAATAGAATAGAATAGAATAGAATAGAATAGGAGAAAGGAGAATAGAATAGAATAGAATAGAATAATAATAGAATAGAATAATAATAGAATAGAATAGAATAGAATAGAATAGAATGGAATAGAATGGAATAGAATAGAATAATAGAATAGAATAGAATAGAATAGAATAGAATAATAATAGAATAGAATAGAATAATAATAAAATGGAATGGAATGGAATGGAATGGAATAGAATAATAGAATAGAATAGAATAGAATAGAATAGAATAGAAGAGAAGAGAAGAGAAGAGAAGAGAAGAGAAGAGAAGAGAAAGGGAGGGAGGGAGGGAGAGAAAAAGAGGAGAATCTATCAGGAAGAAGTTTCCGTTAAAATTGTCTTCCTTGTGGATCACTTAGTTACAAATCAGACAGGTTTTTTCTTTCTCTTTTTAAATGCAGGGAAGCACAGGCAAACTACACACAACCACACCCTCAATCCCCACTGCAGAGGTGCTTTAATTGATGCTTCCGTCCACTCCTCATGCACCGAAGGAGTGTGCAGGAGCTGTGCCCTCCTCAGGCCATTCAAACAGCACGGGCTGCTCTCTCTTTCTCTCTCTCTCTCTGTGTGTGTGTGTGTGTGCGTTCCTATGCAGTTGCGTGAAAACCAGCCTTTGGGTTTGTCACATGCAGAAGGGAGAAATTTCTAGCAAACCAAAAGGTCAGCGACTGAGTCTCTGGCCACCCACGCATCGGATCAGATGCTGCCGCAGCTTCTTCATTCAGCCTGTTTAGAGATCAGCAATTCTGGGGCTGGCTGTTTGGATTGGCACTCCCTCCCCCCCACAACACTCCCCCCCCCGTGAAGGCTCCTTGTGCAGCCCGGCTTGGTAATTGTGATGCATTGGAGGTGAGGCGCAAGCAAAGCAAAGCATTGGAACAGAACCGAATGAGGAATTCTTCCAATTAGCCATCTCGGCAGGAGAAGACAGCCATTTCCTTAGGAGTCTCCAACAGCTGGGGTCACCCCTGAGAACTTTTATTTATTAGCTTGCTTTTCTGCAAGACAACGAGGTTATGGCAGGAGAGCAAGCTCTACACCTCCCTGTTTGGGTGGTTGAGGTCAACTCTTCCAGCCAAGAATCGTTGGGAAGGTCACAAGCAAGACCTGAAGGTAGCCTTAGCCCCTTCCTTCATGGTCTGCTTCAAACTTCAGGGCTCACATCACTCATTTGAATGATGGTGAGATCCTCTGTCTCGTGCTGCTTCTGAGGAACATCTGAACCTCACAGCCGAAGGCAGGATCCAAAACCTTTTTCGGAACTTCATCACTCAGTGGCCCTGATTGTATTCCCCTTATGTCGGATTCACGTGTGTGCCTTAGCCAATCCAAGGTCTTATTTTTACCCCTAAAGCTAATTTGAAGCCAGGTTCTTGGAGACAACGTCTGCTCTCCCATGATCCTGTTGGCTATGTCTTTTGAGGTCTCCCTATAAAGAGAGACAGGCTGGATGGGGAATATTAATTTTATTTTATTTCATTTTCTTCTCTACTTATTCATTAGAGTTTAGCCTGCCTTTTGTTCAGGGTCATTTAGGTTGAGCCGAGAAGACAGGGGACTGGCCCAAAATCACTCAGGGAATTCAGTAGCTAAAGATAGTCTAGGTTTCCTTGAGGCTAGTCCAACACTTTAACTCTACGACACCAGCTTTCATATTTACTTGTAATTTAATGCTAGCTTCTTCTCCAGAAATGAAAAGATGCCATGAATAATTCATCCCAAACCTGCCCGGTCTTCTTGATAACTCTGCAAGCTAGATTGGGGTGGACGATGCTGAAGAGCCAATGGTCAGCCAGGCATGGCCGAGTGGGCGATGAAAACATGAGCAGCAAACATTAACCAAATTTCCTTTCTTAAACAGACATTTACAACATCAAGATTTGTTTGTTTCAGGCTTTAACCCTTCCTGGTTTTCTTTTCTAGAATTCACCCATAAAATTAATTAATGAATTACATATCTCAAGAAAGGCAACCCTTTAAAAATGTTTCCTTCCTTCCTTCCTTCTTTCCTTCCTTCCTTCCTTCCTTCCTTCCTTCCTTCCTTCCTTCCTTCCTTCCTTCCTTCCTTCCTTCTTCCTTCCTTCCTTCCTTCCTTCCTTCCTTCCTTCCTTCCTCCCTCCCTCCCTCCTTTCTTTCTTTCTTTCTTTCTACCTTTTCCTCCATCATCAAGCAAAAATGATTGAATTTTCTTTATTAAACATGTAGAAGAAAGATCAGAAGTCAAACATCACACAAAATATCCTCTCAACATCAGATCAGAAGCAAACCACGAATCTACTTATTGCGAGCCTGGATGGAGCCTGTCAGAGCTTTATCAGACAAATCTCTTTAATATCTCCTGCGCCTTCTTCTGTCCACTGCAGATGCTTATTTCAGTCATAACTCACAGCCACAGAAAAGTGGAAATAATATTCGTATCAACTTATGACATTTTCCTGCTTAGTTACCTTTAGACTGCCACAGTTCAGCCATGGTGAGGGATTCAACATTAATTCAATAGTCTTTTGCATTCTCCAGATAAATATACTTGAATAAACTTAGGCACGCTCTAAATAAATTTAGGCGTGCTCTAAATCTTCCAAAAGAAATATGGAATTTAGAACGTGGAACATACAATCCTAGAGCTTGCAAGGGACCTCGGAGGTCTTCTAGTCCATCCCCGTGCTCAAGGCAGGAGACCTTATAGCATCCTGGTCAAATGGTTGTCCAATTTCTACAGGTAGTCCTCAACTTACAACAACCATTCAAAGTTACAACAGCATTGAAAAAAAGAACCTATAACCACTGCCGCATCTCCGTGGTCACGTGATGAAAATTCACACCCTCGGCAACTGACTCTTATTTATGACGGTTGCATGTCCTGGATTTTGTGACCTTTTGACAAGCAAAGTCAAGGGGGAAGCCAGAGTCACTTAACGACTATTTGGGGGTAATAATGCAAGACAGACCACCCAGCTGAAAAGATAAAAAAGAACGGACACTTACTGATGTGTACAAGTAGCCTTCGCTGTTCATCGCTAAATACAGCTTTGTCTGAACCCCTTGGATAGCCACCACTCGTAAGCCCACAGGGATGAGGTTAAACAAAGCTAGGAGAAAAATGAAAAGAAAAAAAAAGTTAGTCCCTCCATCTGAATTGCGGAAACCAAATCAGGTTTTCCCATAAATGGGAGAAGCTGTAATGTCAGTATAAGAGAGAGAGAGAGAGAGACAGAGAGAGACAGAGAGAGAGAGAGAGAGAGACAGAGAGAGAGAGAGAGAGAGAGAGAGAGAGAGAGAGAGAGAGAGAGAGAGAGAGAGAGAGAGAGAGAGAGAGAGAGAGAGAGAGAGAGAGAGAGAGAGAGAGAGAGAGAGAGAGAGAGAGAGAGAGAGAGAGAGAAGGATATGTTTTGGGTATGCATGCAAATTCACAGAATTAAAAAAAAATAATAATCAACTGACAAGAATCTCCTTGGGAATTTAACCAGAATGTTTCTCGATCAAGTTGACTCTTGAATAAGTCTTATGTTTCCTAACTCATTGGTGGGCTTCCAGGATATTTTGGACTACAACTCACAATGTCCTCAGCCGATGCTCCCAGGAGAACACAAGAGTAGCAGATAGCAGATAGTCTTCTATTTGAAGGCATTGCCAGTTTTATTTTCCCAAACCCATCTACAATTTTTCAACTCCACCAACCCCGGAGCTATCAGCAGAAGGGAGAGAATGAAGTCACCCATACAATGTTAGCATCCGTACAACAAGTGACCACCTTCTTCCACTCTTTGGAGATCCAATCTGTTCCCTAAATTAATTAATTATCCCAAGTACAGAGAGCAGCCCCAGAAGGATAGAATAGGGGCAGGACAATCCTTCCCACTTTTGCTACATCAAAAAAGGGACATCTACACCAACACGAAAAGGCTCTTTAACCAATTCAAATCAGATGTAGCTAAAGAATGAGCTTTCTGCAGAAATCAATTCATTTGGCTAGTTCATTCCCAGGCATCATGCAGCCATCCAAACCAACAACTCCACCTTGCAAAATTCCTTACAATACTGAAACAGTTCAGCAATATTTCATATTCACGGCAGGGGAGGTGGTGTTGACTGGTAAAGCTCATGTAACATCAAGACATATTATTTAGCAGTTGCCAAAATGCGTAAGTTGCTCTCAAACTTTCCAGAGAAGCTAGATAAAGACCAAGAATTTTCAGGAGAAACTCCTCCAATGCCAAAGCAGAGTAGCCAGAATCAGGAATTGTTGAAGTTGTATTTTATGGTGTATGGCTTCCTATCCACTGGTACCGTCTATGCCTGAGTTGGACAACGTTTGATATAGGAGATAGCAAAGTTCAGTGACTGGAAACATACTACAAGGTCCAGATCAAAAACATGGACTAAGACTACATTTTCTGCATCTCTCCAAGATTTTTGGAGATATTTTTAAACTTTTCTGAGGGTCGGCTTTTAAAATTGGGTTCAACCTTATTTTAAGTCTTAAGTTCCATTCACTGTGTATTTCTTGCTTCAGATTGTTAGGCAATCATTCCACAAACTTTAGAGTGGTTTCTTGATCTACAAGCAGATGGATAGATGGATGGATGGATGGAAGGATGGATCAATGGATGGATGGATGGGTGCATGGATGGAGTGCGGGCAGATCTGAGATTCCAGATTGCCCTTTGATGGCAGTAGCTCTTCAACCTTTCAGATGGTGATGTTTCCTAATCCTTTCCATGGGAGAGGGAACTAAAAGTGGGACCTTCAGCATCGAATCAGCTGTTCTCTGTCATTAAATCCTTAAAGGTAGCCGAGAAGGCATTTGCATAAAGTCCACACAAATTGGCCTTTGTTTACTTCTATCGGAGCACGCAACCCCTAATAAAAGCTGAAGATGTTCTCTTATCTTGGCTGGGGATACAGACTGACTTCTGTTGGGCCTCTTTGAAATTCCACTGTCTCATCTTTACTGGAGAACAGAAGAGAAAGAAAATGTCTGAAACATTGGTTTTGCAGAAGAGATGGCCATCTTATCTCTGTTCTGAATTTTAGAACCCGGGAAGCAGATAGTTCTATTTGAAGCTGGGCATTACTTGGGCGAGAATGATAAGCTCAGCTTTTTGAAACTGTAAATGAGGGCTTGCATCAGAGGGGAAGAAATGAAATAGTTTCCTAATCTGTGCACCGCCACACTCAAAAGGTTATTTGCCCCCAATTCATACACATCCTATTTACTGAAATACACTAACGCTCCGTTGCACACCGTAACACTGTGGAAGGGGAAGGCAGACCAATGGAACTGAACCTGAAGATTTATGGAAACAAAACGGCTGTCAGGATTAGTTGCCATCACCACCACATAAGTGGGAGCATTTAATCCTCCTTATTCTGAAATGAGAATAGCAGCATGGTTTTAAGTCAGGTAAAACTGGAATGGGAAAGGAACCTTTCCTGATCAGATCATCAAAAACCCAACTCAAAAGAAAATGACGATGAATATATCCATATATACGCATGGAGATACCATCTGGGCCGGCTTTTCAGAAAGCAGAAGTATCTCCGCAGCTTTATCAAGTGTCTAAGTGTTTCTCTTCGGCAGGTGGAACAGCAAACATGAACGCAGTGATGACATCACGGCCAAATGAGCCTAGCCTTTGAAAAACACCCATGCATATGGACTAGCAGGCTGTGCAAACAAACCAAACCGGCTCTTTTATGTCTAACAATATACTCACTATATGTGCTTTCTTCCTCTTTCGTTCCGTCAATGGTTCCATCTGCTTGCAACTGCAAATGATATCCTTGCCGGCTGTAAAGTTTTGTGATGATGCCTTTCAGCTGTGGTTCTGTAGAGCAAAACAAACAAGCAGAAAAGGTTAGAAATTTGAGTCTGTTGTTGTATTCATGTTGGGTTCAAGCAGACCAAAAGCTGTGCCTCATTTTTTTTTCCCCAAGGAGAAAGAAATAGGATTAGAAACTTTCCTATGATTTGAGATAGAGATAGATAGATAGATGAGAGAGAGAGAGAGAGAGAGAGAGAGAGAGAGAGAGAGAGAGAGAGAGAGAGAGAGAGAGAGAGAGATTAAATCAGCACCTTGGACAGCATCCAGTCTTCAGGCTATAAAGCTCTGTGGATGACATTAAATCCTGAACAACTTAATAGAGAATCAAAATTCCAACATATTACATGGCCGAAGGAGCAAAGACTGGATTTCTATTAAGATTAGAAAGATACCAGCTAGAAGGAAACTTTAATTTTTTAACGATCTGAGATTCATTAAGAGAGGAACAGGGAAAGGCTTGCTAAAATGGTTGCTGGTGGATCACGTACGGCGTGGCAGCCTATGAATATGTGACAGCACAGACAGGTGTTTGTCTGAGGCATAGAGCATTGTATGAATCTGACCATTTAGGTTAATAACCTTTGTTTATAGAGCAGCTGTGAACCCAGCTAATTGTAGCCCAGGCGATAAAATTTTAAGAACCACCACGACTTTAGTAAGGTTGGTCGTGTCCCAAAACTCAAGGGCATAAATAAATAAAGAATAAAGATTTTAGGATTGCCCACAAAAAAAATATGATTGTTACTACTGCTCAAGAAACATGCTAATCTTTTAAATATTTTTTGGGCTGTTGGCCACATTCATCTTAGAGTCTCAACATTTCCACGCAACCTTCCCCAAGCTGGGGAAATTCATCCATATCCCAATATTTGCATGGTCCTTCTAACATGGAAGCCATTTAATGGCACAGCCTTCAAGCTTCTCAGCTCCACTTCATACACCATGGGTGTTAATTCTGCTGGAACAAGCGTCTTGAGGTTAAAGGCAGGTCCTCACTGAACCAAATCCATGGCAATAACCAGAGGATCTTGGAGGACGGAAACCAAAGTTTAGACCACCCTCATGTAAAAACATCAAAGGAAATCTCCTTCCAGAAAATAACAAGACGTGCATCATAGTTAGTTTGACACGAGCATGAGGGTTTGTCTTAGATCGAAACTCGAGCCCAGTTAGGAATGCAGAAGCCAACTCCAGAGAAAAAGAATGGCAGGTCCCTGAAATTAATCTTCTCCCATGTCACCTAAGCAAGGTCTGAGCAGACACAACCTGCTGCCCTTAAACAACCTGGTTGTGTGAATGCTGCACACTGACCAAGCGATCCCGTTCATCTGATTTCCACCCAGAGCACAGGCAGTCCCCAAATTACCACAGTTCCTTTAGTGACCGTTCAAAGTTTACAACACCCACTGAAAAAAGCGACTGGTGGCTGCTTTTCACCCTTCTGACCATTGCAGCATCCCCAAGGTCATGTGATTTATATTGGGATGCTTCACATTTATGACCAGTCGCAGTGTCTCCCGGGTTCACGTGATTCCCCCTTTTGCGACCTTCTGACCAGCAAAAGTCAAGGGGGGGCGAAGCCAGTTTCACTTAACAACCATGTTACTAAGCTGACAACTGCAGTGAGTCCCTTAAAAACGGGGCAAAATTCATTTAACAAATGTCTTGTTTAGCAATGGAAATTTTGGGCTCCATTGTCGTAAGTCGAGGATTGCCTATCGAACTTACTTATAACCTTTCTCGCCGCAGTCTGTAAGGGAACCACTGGAGTTGTCAAGTTAGTAACACGGTTGTTAAGTGAAACGGGCTTCCCTCCCCTTGACTTTTGCTGGTCGGAAGATCGCAGAAGGGGGATCACGTGGCCCCGGAACACTGCGACCGGTCACGAATGTGAGTCAGTATATTTGAGGAAGGAGACAGGATTAAGACATAAATATCTATGATAAAGTACAAAGTGTGGGTCCCCCGGTTACCAAGAGCCATAAAAGACCCCCACCCTGCCAAGACTCCCAAAAGTTGTTCCGACGGACCGAAAGCACAAATAATAAAATACATGCCAGGGATGTAACTACATCACACCTATTCAGTCGCAATCCACCTAAAACGACAATGAATTGACAACTAATCTGCTTATCCACGGAGATTCTCGGTCCTCCAGGTTAGGGTGGTCCAAAAGGTGCTTTTTCCAAAAGACAACTGGACTTCCTTGGTCTCTTTTTCCTCCCCTTGAAAACATTTCGCTTCTCATCCAAGAAGCTTCTTCCATTCTGATTGACTGGTGGGGAATGGAAAGATTTACGCTCTTTGCAGTCATCTTTGCAGAATATAAATCCTTCCGTTCCCCGCCAGTCATTTAGAGCTGAAGAAGCTTCTTGGATGAGAAGCAAAATATTTTCGAAGAAAAAAAGTCCACTTGCCTTTTTTTGGGGGGGGGGGGGGAAGAAAAACACACCCTTTCAGACAATGAATCTGGTTCTTCACCTGGAGTTAGGTCTACTATTCCAAGTAGGGCTGTTCCACTGGAAAGTAAAAGTTGTGTATCCCTCAGTTAAGTGGCGAACAGGGTTTTAAACACACTTGCATTACGTAGCTGTTCCCCTTGGAGGGCAGTTCTGTAAGCAGATCCAGGAGCCTGCGTTCCCTGGATAGCAAATTTCGTTGCTGCGTAACAATTAAAACAGCCTGTAGTTGCCACCAAATCTAGAACTGAGTCCTCCGAGGGTGCAGGCTGATGGGGAGGGGAGGGCAGACCTAAAGGAAGCCCAGATTTTTGTTCCTTGAACCAATGCCTTCATAAACCCAGTTTATTTTATTTTATTTTATTTTTAAGCATGCGTGGACAATGCTTTTGTTTGCGGATCACACATGGACAGGTGAGAGGCGTCTGTCTCTGCGTGTATCGGCATATGATTGCGTACCAGTCAATCAATCGATCGATCAATCCATCCTAGGGTCTTGTTTGTTTTTGACCAATCTGGAATCGCAAATCATTGAATATGCAAAGCCACATCGATTTTTTTTCCAGATGTTTCTTTCCTCTTAGGAAGATTTCAGAAATGTTTCTGTTAGGCTGCTCCCCTTGTTTTTCTAGCTTTTATATTTCAATCATGCAATAGGGTTGGGTGAGGCCGGCCAAGGTTTTACTCTTGTTAAAGCAGAGAATGTTGAAATCTTCTGAAAAAAATTGGTGATTTCCTTGGTAAATCACCTTGTTCCCACCTCAAATATAAAAGCAAGGCGTTTTTACAATTTTTCTTCTTTTTATAGGCTTCCTCTTCCACCAAATGAAATTACTTTGTGAATAGCAGACGAGGGAAGAAGACGGTTGAGAATCAGAAAGAGAACTATATATTTCTTTTTAAAAATTTTAATACCATATAAAACCACCAACCGAAGGGGTTGAAGTTCTTCCTGTTCTACTTGTCCGCTTGTTTTTAAACCCTGCGCATGTTTGAAATGCGATGCAAACCGTCTCCCCCTAATTTTCTTGCTGAATTCTGAAGAACAAAGAAGAGGAAACTTGGGTAGATTGTTTCCACACTGGACATTGGTCAATGTTGCTATTAAGTCTGGCATTTGGGAAAATGGATAAATGCAAAGTCAAAACCAGTGCCAACCTAGGCTTCCCAGTACAAGGCACAATTATATCCTGTGGGTTGCAAAATCATCACACAAATAATATCACAGTGAAACATGGCATTATTCCCCTCCTGTTGAGCATCAGCTTCAAGGCAGTTTTAAAGCTCGCTTGTGAGATATCACACCAACAGTGATCTCCTGGTTGTGTGTTCATGGTGTTCTCAACACCAAGTTCACTGTTCCTACACATGAGTTCCATGGATCATCTCATCCACAGATTTGGCTCCTCTTCCACATCTCTGAGTCTTCTCCAAAGCCATCAACATGACCAGCTGTCCTCATTTCTTACAATGGTCCCAAGACATAAACCAACCACCCGGGCTTGCTATAACCTTTGCAAGAGATCTCACCAAAGGTGGCACAGGGATCTCTTTATAGAGATCAACCATTGTATCGCTATGGGACTATCAACCTATTCAGCCCATTCAACACTGCAAAACTGTAACGTAAAGAGATGGCTCACCTTGATTTTGGGGGAAAGGAGGACCATTGAGAAAGGAAACGCAGGTATGACCTGTGTCCAATCTTTTGCACTTTCTGACTCAAAAAAAGAAGACTTGGAATAGCCTCACCATCTCCCCAGCCCAGATCAACTGGACTACAGCTCCCATAGCCAGCCAATGGTCCAGACAAACCTTGGCAGAAGGCGTCCCTCGGAATTCGGCACACATTTGAGTGAGAGAAGAAACCAAAACATCAAGCAACCACCCTTCTCTCTCTCTCAGAGTCCAAGCAATATTCCACGTAGCCCAAGACTCTGGCCCCCAAGGAGAAGACCTCTTAAGAGGTCCCCTGTGATTCAGATCCTAGAAGGCACTGCTTTTGCAACACGTAAGCATTCCAGTTGACTCCCACCTTCTTCAACCTCTGGTTTCTCCCTCCGAGAGGTGATCTGGAGAAGCCACTGAAGGTCTCACCTCCTCTCTTGCTCCTGCAGCTCAGGATAGACCATCTCCTTGCCTCATTCACCACTGAAAGGAAAAGGTCATTTGGCGGAAGAGCCTTCCACCCAAGGGACCGCTGGCCCGGCTTTTCCCAAGAACTTAGCCTCCTAAGACCCCCGGGGGAGGGAGTTGCTTTCCCTCAAGATACGCTGGTGGCTTTCTTGGCAAGAGCCCTCACCCCACCTCACCGCCAGGCTCAAGGCACCCCATGAAAACGCAGCTGGCTCCTTCGGGCCAGGAGAACCCGTCCCAATGCTTGGGAGACTGCAGCACTTTCTAATAGAGCCAGCTAGCCAAAGCTTGGACCGAAGGAGGACAAGACCGATGGTACCCACCATTCCAGGGAAGGAACCATCCCACCGGGACCCCCTTGCAGCCAAGCAGACCCCACACCGCTTCTCTGCCGCCGCCCTCCCCACCCCAGTCGGGGCCAGGGCGCAGCCTCACCTGGTTTCCTCCTCCGCCGCTTCTTGGAGCCGAAGAGCTTGACCCGGGAGAAGACGCTGAGCTTCTTCTTGTCGGCGCAGCTGGTCTTGGACTTGCTGGGGCTGTTGACACACTTGCAGGCGTTGGACTTCTCCCGCTCCCTCGCTTGTCTCTTCTGGCGGATCAGGGAGCTGGCGATGGCTGCCGCCATAGCCGCCACCCTGGAGGGTCACTCGGCGGGGCTGCGGGCGCTGCCTGCGGGGGAGGCCCCCAGCATGCTGCTCTCGCCGCCCCTCGGAATCTGGAAGAGGCTAGGCCGTCTTCCCCGCTCCCGGGGCCCGGCGAGGACGCGGGCGGAAGGGAGGCGTGCGCCCTTGGGCGACGGAGGGACGGGCGTGGGGGGGAGGGAAGGAAGGAAGGGACGACTCCCCCTTCCCCAAAGGTGCCGGCCCGGCCGCTGCAAAGTCAGAAGCTCCCGGAACTCCGACGCCAAGTTCCTTTGCCTTCAGCGAAAGCGGAGCGGGACACCCAACAGGTCCCCGGACGGTTCCAAAAGCGCCCGGGCGCCCTGGCGCAGCCTCGGCGCCGGGCGGCGCCGGCGGCACCTGCCCCCCCCCGCCCTCCTGGGTTCAGTCGGCTCTTGCCCTTGCGCCCTTCTCCGTCCGGCGAGCAGACAACCTGTTAGGACCCCTCGGCCCGCAGAAGGGGCTCCGGCTGGGCTCCGGAGGGGGCGCCCTGGCGTCCCTGGCTCCGGAGAGCGGCTCCTAAGGCTGCTGGGGGCGGCCCCGGCCGCGCAACTCCCCCGGGGAAGCCAGCTTGCTTGGAGTCCCGTTCAGCCGGGCAGCTTTCACCGCAGCATCTCCCGAAGCTCCCGGACGGAGCGAGGCTCTGGCGTCTTTTGGACGGCGAGCGCGCGCTCTGCCAAGGGAGAGGAGGAGGAGGAGGAGGAGGAGGAGAGGAGGAGGAGGAGGAGAAGGCGGCGACAAGCGAGCCAGCGGGCGGTCGGTCGGGATTTTCCTTCGACAGCAGCAGTAGCAACAGCAACGCCGGGCGACCGAGGCTGCGCTCTCCCCTCCAGGCGCTGCGCGGCGGCGAAGGGAGGAGAAGACAGGAGGAGGAGGAGGAGGCGACGCGGCAAAAGCCCCGGGCGGCTCTGCTCCCCCCTCCCCCCTCTGGCAGGAATGCAGATGCTGGGCTCGGTGCGCAGGGAGGAGGAGAGGGAGAGGGAGCGCACGGTCCGAAGGGGTCTCTCTCTCCCCTTCTAGGCAGAGGCGCCACCGGGGTCTCCTTTTGCCCCCCAGACACCTCCCGACAAAGAGGAAGCCCCCCCCCCCGAACTGGGGCAAATAAAGAAAGGCCGTCCCCAGATCGAGATAGGCTCCCAAACCAACGTGGCTTGATTGGGAGGGCTTTGAAACCCCAGGGATGGCAAGGCAGGGTGATACCGGGGTGATACCTGAGAAGCCACAGGCAGACTCCGGGAGGAGGGGAGAGGCAGAGGGAGAGAGAAGCCAGAGAACGACATAAGAGCTAAAGGAGGGGCCGGAGTCTCAGGCTTCCCTGCTGTGCCTGGAAAAAACCCGGAGCAGGAGGTGATCTGGAGAATACCACCTTACCAGTCATGGAAGCCTACAACAAAGGCCCAGTTCGCTGTTTTGTCTGTGGGACTACCCTCCACATTTTTGAGGATGGCAACCCTACCAGCTGTGGCTCACTTAGTTAACACACCTTCCATCCTTCTGGTTTCTTTCTAAAACAGGTCCATGCTATGTATAAGAGAATCCAAAGTCCAAAGTCAAAACAAACTAGAATCCTTCTTGTTAGATGCTCCTTATGCTTTTATTTATGCGACCTAAAGTCACATGATACCCATAGAAGAGAATAATTGTAACTGAAGATCGAACTATGGGGTCCTTGGTGCTCTCTGAGCTTGATGGTTTTCTTGCAGACGCTTCGTTAGTCAACTAGATCAGCGGTTCTCAACCTATGGGTCACGACCCCATTTGGGGTCGATCGACCATTTCACGGGGGTCGCCAAGCAAGGCTGTCCGCCATTTTTTTGTCCGCCATTTTTTCCCCTGTTCGGCGGGTGCCTTACCTCCCTTGGGCTGGGCCAGCTGGTGGTCAGCCTGCTCCGTCTCTGCCGCTTGCCAGCTATGCCTCGGCCGGCGCAGGGGGCGGAACCACGCATGCGTGGCGCTCCAAGGCAGGGAAAGTCCTTGACTTACGACCGGTTTAGTCCTCGACTTACGACCGGTTTAGTCCTTGACTTACGACCGGTTTAGTCCTCGACTTGTGACCGGTTGGGGGTCGCGGCATTAAAAAGGTTGAGAACCACTGAACTAGATGATGTTGAGTAATGAAATGTCTGCAAGAAAACAACCAAGCTCAGAAAACATCCCACGGTCCTCCTCCTCCTCCTCCTCCTCCTCCTCCTCCTCCTCCTCCTCTCTCCTGTATACCGCTCTCCCTCCTAGCACTGATGATGTTACCTAGTTGAGTAATGCAACGTCCACAAGAAAGCAACCTCACAACTATAGTCCACTTCTATTTATGGAATCTAGAGCTGTCCAACCACACTATTGATAAATCACAATTGGTGGTACCAATACACGCATTTAATTTATAGTTTACAAGCCCCCCCAGTCTGTTTCATGAGTACAGATCACCGGATCCATCTCCTTTAGAGTATTCTGACAACCCCCAATGAAGAGCAACACCAACAAAAGTTGTTGACAGCAGAAAATGCTTAAACGGCACCCCAAGTGGTCAATTCCACATTGCAATGAAGCACCACACAAAATCTTACACCTGCTAAGCATTAAGACCGAAATTATTTGGAGCCAATGCAGGAGGGAATGCAATGAAGGCCGTTAACAAACAAATTCGCGGAATTCTGGGTCACGGAAAGAAATCTTCCTTGCAGATTTGGAATAGGATCCAAAGCATCCAGCATTCTCGCGCCCTGGCCCCGACGAGCCTTTCTGAAAGAAGACATTTTGGAGAACTTTGAAAGAGGGGCCGTGTGTTCCTCTCCATTCTGTTCTTTTTGGGAAAAAAGAGAAACTGCTTCCAAGTTCAGAAGGCAGATGCTCCAATGCCAACATACTACTTTGTACGTAAAGTGTAAACCACACAACAAGAGCAACAAACAAACCAGGGTAAGAAGCCAGCTTGTTGCCAGCAGAGTGCTTTTACACCTAAATTTTGCACAAAACATTTCTACAGTTCAAAGAAGTTTGGGATAATTTACAGTCGGGAGGTGCAAGAGAATTCCAAGTGCTGAATTATTATTATTTTTTTTCCGGAAAGCCTTTGCTGCCATGCGAATTTCACAACTAAGTGTGCGCCATCCACGAAGGAATGCTAGAATTCTGCTTTACCAAAGACAAAGGCAATGTGGGTACACCGGAGAACAAATTTACCACCTGAGCTAATGTAGTGAAGACCTCCCAGGTCCCTCCCAACTCTGTTATTCTGTTAGCTGCTGGTTGATATTATGGTATCATTATCGTATCAGGGAAACCCCAAAGACTGTCGGTATGCAACTCCATCGTTTATTGACTCTGAATTTGCGAATAGAGTAACTCATCTCCTAGTTGCTCACTAAGAATGTAATTGTGATATTGCTTTTTAACAAAAAAAATTTGCCGCACGCTAAATAAAATAAATATTATTTGATGGAGCTTCTGGATCAAAAGAGATGGTATAAATCTACCCTCCCCCCAAAGAACTAAACAGACTTGAGAAATGTCGAATCTGAAACTCCCTTTTCATTTGCAGACCCCACCAAAAGCTACTCAGCTCATTTCCCCAAGTTACCCCCTTTCTAAACCACTTCTGCTCTCCTTCCTTCCTTCCTTCCTTCCTTCCTTCCTTCCTTCCTTCCTTCCTTCCTTCCTTCCTTCCTTCTTTCTTTCTTTCTTTCTTTCTTTCTTTCCTTTCTTTCTTTCTTTCTTTCTTTCTTTCTCTCTCTCTCTCTCTCTCTCTCTCTCTTTCTCTCTTTCTTTCTTCCTTTCTTTCTTCCTTTCTCTGTCTGTCTGTTTGTCTGTCTGTCTGTCTTTTTCCCCCCTTCTTACCCGAGTACGACTTCCGTAATCCCAACGCCATCCTTCTCCTCCGAAGCCGGTGCTGGCCCTTTCAATGGCAGCCTGCATCTGCGAGCAAGCTCAGAGAAAGTTTAAAGATGGACGGAAAGAATTCTCCAAGGTATCGGCTAGAAACATCTTTGTGGTATGCACGGATCATTAATGGACATTAGGAGCTGAAGACCATTACGACTTTCAGCGTGCATTAAAAATGCATAGCTTTGAAAAGTTGTCTTCTGGCAAAGTTGGAGATGCGGCTTTGACGTCCCCTTCTCCTTCTCCTTCTCCTTCTTCTTCTTCTGCTGCTGCTGCTGCTTTGGCTTCAGTGTGATTTTTTTTCATTTTTCGCAAAATGCTGGATTTTATTTGCCCATCTAAGATCACGAGGGAGGAAAATTATCTTTCAGTGTAACCAGATCCCCCAGTATCCGAGGCCTTGGCTTTTTAATGTTTCCGTTGGAAAAAAAAAACAACAGCACAAAAAAGCCTTTTAGAGGAAAAAGATCCAAGCTGGTTTTGTTTAAGCTGAATTATTGATGATCCATGAACAGAGTTGTAAACATTTACAGGAATCATGCTTGCCAAAACTCCCGAGAGAATTGCCACTTTGATGGATCTCTCTCTGGGTGTGGTCACTGCTGTACCAGAGAACAGGGTCTTCAGCTTCTTGAGGACCAAATTGCTACCTTGTGTTGCGGAGGACACACTTTTTGGGAAGCACCCAAGAGATGCACACCCAAAATAGGCAGATGTTGGCTCCAGAAGTACTCAGAGCTGGGATAACAACCAAATGTCACTCCCTCCTGTCTACATGTCAACCATGCAATCAAATTGGACGGATCACAGAATCGATAGGATTGCTCTCCATGTATTTAACCAACTTCCTTTTCCTGCGACTCAATAATGACAGCTTCAAGGCAAAGTTTGAAGGTTTCTTCTGGAAGTAACCCTGACATCATCAATCAAGATTTGAGTTCTGTTTTAGCTATAATACTGAGATCAAGATTTATGTCTCGGCCACATTTTTAAATCTTGTGTTTGTCAAGGAAATCTACGTGTCATCAAAGATCATGAGTATCACTTTGAATGTCTTAAAGTAGAATGAGAAGAGGGTGGCCTTGTG